CCGCGCGCGAGGGCTGCTGGGAGGGGCCGCCCGCGCGGCCTGCTGGGAGTTGTATTGCGCTGCGTCCTGCGGCGTGGTCTGGGGCCGTGCCAGATGTATTAGCTACTGAATTTAGGAGGACTCACAAAATGAGGGGCGTCTAAAAAGGAAAAAAACAAAACAAAACAGGACATTTTCATTCTAATATTGCAAAAATATACAGATTATTGCACAGCTATTCTTCATCGATTTGAGATACAAAAAAGAGATGCAAAAGTTGGTTCCAAAATGATCCTTTTTTTTTTTTGCAATATCTTGTTGCCATTCCTCAGTGGGTCTAATAAAAGGGATCATTTGGGAACGGTCTAGATTTTTTGCATCTCTTTTTGTCCAACACAGCTACCAAATACGTGGCTGAAATAACACAAATTCATCTTAAAATGTGAAAATCCTTGTCCGTGGATTCCTTTCATCGTACGGGGCATCTTAAGATGGACATAGCTTAGGGCCATGGCGTGGCATCATCCAGCGCTGGATGGCTGTAGCTTAGCATGGCATCATTCAGGGCTGGATGATGCCAGGAATTAGATATAAATCTCCCAGAGATGCTGAGAGCCACCCAGGAGATAAAGGATGGGGCATTCGTTCAAATAAATATCAAATCTCGAATCCGATCTATACTGTGGTCCAGTGGGTTTTTAAAATGTAATAGCCATGCCTTTCTGACATAACATCTATGCAGTGTTGTCCATAAGGGATCTCCAGGGACTCCTCCTTCAACGCCGTCCCGGTGGATCTTGACAGGACCCCCAGGAGCAATGGCACAGCCTGGTCTGCAGCCAACACCCGATGCCCCGAGGGAGGCTTGAAAACACCCCCAGACGCAGCACAAAACAGGTGGGGGGAACCAGCAAAGCCCAGAAGCCTGGGAAATAAGCTGCGGTGATTTAAACAGAGCAGTCGGCATCCACTGAATGGCCGATCGGGGCAGATTTGCGCTGCGGTTTCCTGGCTGGGCTTGCCAGGGGTTTATGATTCTTTTCACACCACTGGGATTTAAGCCTGGCTCAAAGGGGGAAAGGGCGCAGAGGCTGAAGACACCGGGAGTCTGCCTGATTGCAAAACTCAGGACTTGTCCCCTTGCGTGAATTCAGTCTCCCGACTCAGTTTCCAAGTCTGTAGAATGGGGGTAAGGATGGGGACTCTCAAGGACCTGAGCCCCTGCCACCTCCCTTCACGGCTGCGCTCCTGAGATGCCCTGTGGTGCAAATCTTCCAGCCCCAGGCATTTTTAATGGGGGAGATTTGCATTTGCAGAATGACCGCTCAGAAGAGCATCAACACACTGCGGCATCCAAGACCCCAGCCCCTGCCCACAGCAGAACGGGATCAGAACTGCAGGTCACGTACCCTAAACTGCCAGGAGCAGATGGAGAGTCCCTCCTTCAGCCCAGCGTGGGCGGTGATCAGCGTCCCTTGAAGCAGGAGGCCCTGTGCTGACGTCCTGCCCCGCTGGGCATGTGAAGGAGGGGGCATCGCTGGGCTGCAGCCGGACCAGGAGTTGCCCCTTGCTCCACAGACCCACACAAGAGCAGGAGCTGCAGGAAGGAACAGAACAAACTCACCAGGAGGCGCCAGAGGCCATGGAGCCTCCTCCAGGGCATGGAGCAGGGCACTGCCCTGGGGTGCTCCCCGCTTCCCCTTCTGCCCCCGCAGCTGGCACCCCTGGCCTGGCTCCTCGGCCACGGGGCAGAGATCTGAGCCTCAGTCCCCTGGGGACAAGGCGAGGAACGGTTGCCTGGTGGCTCAGGGTCTCACCCCCTGGGGTTCAGGGTCTTGCTCCTCAAACCTGCACCCAGGCCGCTGGGTTTCGCCTGGTTTCCATGGCAAGCCACGGCAGCATCCCGGTGGGTGCTAGGCATGCATGGGATCCCAGTCCTATCCAGCGGGGATGAGCACCTCCATCCTGCCTGGGCATTGCCTCATGCTAAGTGTCTTGGCCAAGGTCATCCCAAGCGTCAGTGGCAGAGACTTGAAACCACAGCACTGCAGTATTAGTACCATGCCTTGCTTCTCCGGCTCCCCCTCCAGGCTGCATGTGGCTGCTTGGAGAAAGGCCCCACTGATTCCTTCCATCTCCGGCACTTCCTTCCCTTGCCCCTTACTCCAGGCGCCCACGTGGGAGGCCAGGGCATGGGACTTGCAGCTTCAGGTCTGAGCCACCCTCTTCCACTTCCCCTCCTGCCGTGCAGCCCGTTATCCCCCAGGAACCGGTTGATCCAGAGCGTCTCTTTGGCCAGGGTTTAGCACGGCTGCGGGACTCATCCCCAGCCCCACACACAGGGCTCCAGCCCCTCCCGACTGTCCTTGCAAAGGCCACGTGCTCCCTGCCTCCCTGTCCCAGCTGCTGGGGTCTGCACCGAGCTTCAGGGTGTCGAAGGAGCTGTTTTCTTTTGCAGGGTCTTTAAACAGCTGCTAAGGTTTAGGGATTTGCCAGGTACCATGCCAGGGGAAGGAATCTGTTACCGGTTCACGCACACGGAGGGGCGGGAGGTTCGCGGGTCTTCGCAGCCTGCAGCCGATGGCAGGGGATGTGGTGGATGGAAAGACCCCAATATCCCCGGGGATGGGGAGCTGGTGTCCGGGGGTAGCCGAAAGGAAAACAGGCCTATGCCATGCCACAGCAGATGCCGCCAGGCTGCTGGGGGAGCCCTGGTGCCCCTCTCCCCCATAACTACCCCAGCCTGGGGGCAAGAGGGGCTGTTACCGCTGCTTCTCAGAGGACAGGGCTCCACATCCCGCTGCTTTGGGAAGAGACTCCCGTGCCACAGCCCTCCATGGAGTGTGTGTGGGACGGGGTGTAGGGCAGTGGGTGGGGGTACGGGTACGGAGATGGGGGTGCAGATGCACGGTGCAAACTGTGTAACGGGTTTTTGGTGTGCTTCGATCCGCCAAGTGAGCCGCAGAGGCCGCTTGGCAGTGTGGGAGGTAGGTATGGAATTAAATATTTTTGCAAAAAAAAGAGGGGCAGAGGGAGTGAGACCTGCTCCGCCATTCACCCCGCCCCATGCAACGCTCTCTCAGGGTCGTGATCCCCCCCGCACAACCATGGCAGAGCTGAAGCTGGCAGGGCTGGGACTCAGAGGAGGGGCTGGCTGGGGTTCCCCCCTCCGGGCCAGGGCTGGCCCCTATCCCCAGCTGACTGCATCTCCACGTGCCCTGGGAGAAAGTCCCTCTCGGTTCCCAGGAGGAGCACGAATGCAGACAGGGCCAGAGCATGAGGCTCTGCTGGAAAGGTTCATTGCAGATCCCCCGCCAGGCTCCCCGGAGCGCCGGGCTCAGCCCCGTGTCCTCACACAGCCCAGAGGTAAGGCAGGGCCCCCCGGGGCTGTGCTATTTTGGGTAGGCACAGTGCCCTTGGTGGGGTTAGGAGTTTAGGTTCCTCTTTTCACAGCGGGGAAGGGAAAGCAAGAACGAGCAAGAGGCCGGAACAGTTCCCAGTACAGCCCGTACCCTGGTTGCGGGACGGCTGATGGGGACAGCTGCCCACAAAAGCAGTCGCTTGCATTAGATCTGCATTTCCCTCCTCGGCCACGGGACACTCGCTGCGAGCAGTGGGCGAATCCCCGTGTCTGCTTGGCACCATGACCCCCCACATCCCCTCCGGTACTTACCAGCACAGCTGTACCCACCGCAGTCCATCCTGCCCTGCCCGTGCCACCCTGTCTCTCCGGCACTAATACCCATCTGCCCCCGCCCCATCATAACCGCTCAGCTGTGCCCAAGGTCTGCTCAAGCCCGTCACTGCCTCGCTGTGTCCTGCTACATGGTGAAGCCACGGCCGTGTCCTAATGGGATGTGGGCAGCAGCAGCCTTCACCCCCCGAGAGCATCTCCTGCTCTGGAGAGAGGGGGTCTGGACATGGGGGCCAAACCCTGGGAGTCAGGAGGCCGGGGGGTTCGCTCCTAGCCTCGCCCTTGTGTAGGATAGGGCTAAGGCTGCCCCCTTGACAGAGCATGTGGCACCTCTCCCAGCCTTGGGCTTGACTTGGAGCTGGGCGATTGCACTGATTTTCGCAAAGCTCCATGTTGCAAAACCCTGTTCTCCAAAGGTTCCTGGAAAGCCGCAGTGTTTCCACGCCAGACGGGAAGGGAAGAGGAAATGGAGCCTGCTTCCTTCCTGTGGCCCTGATGCAGAGGTGTCCCCAAAGCCCCTGCTCCCCCCGCCCCATGCATCACGCCCGGCCCCGCGACGCACCGTGTCCCATACCGCAG